CCCCCCTGGTTCACCAAATTTGAGTTTGAGAATTTTTTTTCATTATTCTACATTATAAGTACCCAAAGAAGCTATATATATAAAAAACCAGATACAAATAGGTGTTTTGCGAAATTGAGAGCAATTTCAAATCTGTTCAGTTTTTTTTTATACACCCTGTAGTGTATTTTTCAGTATCTCACTATCTACTATATAATAAATACGTTTCTCTGTCATTTCAGTCCGTACTCGAGCCACTCTAGTACAAGTGGATATTCAAGTTACTACAACGAATACAACGCGCGGGAGTCACCGAGTCATCCCGGTCTTTGTGGTCTCACGAATCTCGGTAACACTTGTTTTATGAACTCCGCCGTACAATGTCTGAGCAACTGCGTATCACTTACCAAGTACTTCGTCAACGATTGCTATAAGACCGAACTGAACAATGAAAATCCACTGGGCATGCGTGGTGAGATCGCGAATGCGTACGCCGGGCTCATGCATCAAATGTGGTCGGGAAAATACAGTGTGATATCTCCGAGGCAGTTCAAGACAGCGGTAGGTAGATTTGCCCCACAATTCTCGGGCTATCAGCAGCAAGATTCACAAGAACTCATGGCGTTCTTACTCGACGGCTTGCACGAAGACCTGAATCGGATTAAGAAGAAACCGTATATCGAGATAAAGGACTCGGATGGCAGACCTGATCATGTGAGTACTGCATTAGGCCCTGTTTACATGTGACGGAGACAAAGTCAAACCGGGATGAAATTTTCAGTATGTTCACATCAGACCGATCAATCACAAATCTTACGACTTGTTTTTCTTGCCTGCCATTTTCTTTTTTGTATCTGCGAAGCAGATATATATGCTATCGCAAACGTACCGTACCGTATCCCTAGCCATTCAGCGACGGGCTTATATAATTCAGCCAATTTATGCCAATTTAAGCCAATCAGCGATCAGTTTACATCAATTGTTTACATCGTGCCCGCATCTAACCTGCGACGGGCATACTTTAGCCTCGTCAGGCCTCGTGTATAAATCATGTTATTCTTTCAAAAATATCTTGATATTTTTATCAATTTATCTTGAATTGGGCAATTGGCTGTCTTGTTTTCTCTACTTGCGATATTATTCCGAAGTTATTTATCAACATGGAATCTTATCCTCATCTGGTAAGTAGTCAAATACCATATATTATAGATTTAAATACCAAATTTGTGCAAATATATATCCCTAATCCCACATATTTAATACATGAGTTCGGCAAATTACTATACTATCTATAGTTAATATTGCCGTATCTTCGGCGTAGAGACTGTATACATGAAATGCACTCTGCAATTTTTTTATTAATATATTACACTGTATAAAATATTGGATATTTTCGAGGATATTTTAAGCCATTTGTCAACATAGTTCACAAAAAGATTTATACAGTAAAACAATCCTTCTGTGACTTCTGTAATATTTTAAACAGTCAAAACATAGCAGGCAATATTGCCAATGAACAATACCAAAGGAAACTAATGGTCTCGCGAGATATTGAATTAAATCCTGGTCGTGTATTTCTGTATAAACTCTGTTCAAAACAACAGTCCAACTAAGCTGTCATCAAATGTAGTGTTGGAGGTTAAAGATGTTATCAGTTTACAATACTTATACATTTTGGTTTTACACATTTAATAGAGTTTATAATTAAACAAAATTTTTACAAACATTTTCAAATGCTAATAAAAGAATCCCCACCCTCCCTCCTTTAATATTACATTGTTATTTTGCTTTCTAGCTAACATAAATGTTTTTGTCTAGAGATTAATGCAAGAATGATGAATAAATGTACTGGATATTGGCTAGATAATTTTGTCAGAACAACCCACTTGCAAGACAATCTTACCTAAATTCATAAGTATCAATGGTATGGATACTGTAATAACTTAACAGTTACAATAATCATATATTATATGGATGGTCAGATCAATGGCACACAATATGTACAAAACTGAACTTGTGATACCTTCTACTCAAACCGATATTCTCCCACAACACAAATTGTTTTTGTGTGGATATGTTGTGTTAAACCGAACAGTGTGGTATATCATTAACTGCGCACAGGATTGGAATTTAATTATATACTTCATTCATGACCTTTAAAACATTCTCTACTATTCAGTGGTCTTCGATATATGATGGATTCTTTGCTACAGTATTAATTGCATGTTCCTCGAATAGTTTGTGTATGTTACTCAACAGTTAACGTTGGCAAGTGTGAACAACAAGTGACAGAACTTTTGCTTCATATGATTACAATAAAGTTTTCAAAATGGGTATGGATTGACAAGTAACAGTTTACTAAATAGACACTGCGAATATTATTTGCATGAAATTCTTATTTTTTGACTGTATAATTATCCGAGTTACAATCATAATCACATAAAATTAGTTAAATTTTCGCGGGGGGGAGTTGAGTTGCCCCTGCTGCCCTCTGCTGTCTACAGCCTTGTTAGATTTGTACTATGTTTGACTTTAAAATCTTATCTGCTATTATATTTATTATAATAAGTGATGAAAATGTGAATCAAGTTTTTTCGCAGATACATGTACGCGTCGCGTACCTATTTTTTAAGTTAAATTACTTTAAACATAAAATATCCGCCATGTTGTGACGTCATTGTTGCCATGGCAACGACTGTTAGGAGTAGGTTTTTTTTACTCTTCGGTTATTGTGTTATGCCAGTCAGATACTCTTTGTTTTTAAACAAGTAATAATGTCCAGAAAATCATATCCAAATTAGAAAATCTTTAATTTAAAAAAGTCTAGGAAGCCACCTTAAGGCTAATTTTGTCGATCGAGGTATTTACGCATGGCTAGGCGCTTAGTCATTCTTAGATCTCTTGATTTAAGCTCTAGTTTTCAACGTGGGCAGGTCTGTCTAGCATGGGGATGAACCTCGACAGTATCATGATCAGACATCCCAATTAAATGGTGGTAACTTTTTCGGTACTTCATAAAATGCACTGAGATTTGTGTAAACAAGGGCCAACTTGCTTTCTCCCCAGGTCGAAAACGGGACAATTTGTTTAAGTCCGTGCGCGTTTTTTACACGAGAGAGATTCAACTTATTGAAATCTCCAGGTAAGATTACGCCACAGCCAGGAAAGCGACCTTCGATCTTAGATCATGACTCGTACAGGTAGTTTTGAATCAAAGAGTCGTTAGCGCTTGGTGGGTGATAAACAGTTCCGATTATGAAAGATGGTTTTCGCCTGAGGAGGCGATCAGGGCGGATTTAACCCACAAAGTTCAAAGTTCACGTCCATAAGATCGAATAAAACATTGTAACGCACAGAGACCCCAACATACATACAAACACCTCCGTGCCTTATTACTTTCCCGTCCAGCCGTACAATGTTATAGCCAACAATACCCGCTTTTACATGGCTATCAAAATGGTTTCAGTGATGCAAACAACGTCTAGATTCGCATGGCTTATAGTTGAACGAAGCTCATCTATCTTCGGCGAAAGAGAATTACATTCGAAAGCAAAAACGATGGTATACACACAAGGTTGAGGGGCTCGGCCAGGTGTAGATTCTATTTTCTTGGTATGCAAATTGTACGAGATTGTGTGATGACTTGAATGTCTAATATTGTACCGAACTTGTGTCAATACAAACTCACGTCTCACAAAATGACAATAAAACAAGGTTTTATTTACTATAATATCCCAGTTTCAAACGGCTCTCTCAAAAACACAAAAATCTCTCATAATCTCCTCGCCGTAACTATAGCAACAATGTCAATGTACGTCAGGGGGGATGGGTCGTTTGGCTCACCCTCCCCTAAAAATTGTAAAGTTTAATTTTTACTGAGTTTAAATCCAACTGATTGTTCCTTCCTTTTAAATATCCTCGTGCTCAGCAAGCTGTTTGATTTTCTTTTTTGCGTCCTCAGCTGCACTTCGTCGGTTTCTTGTCTTCCCATCATCAGGATTGGTCTTCGCGGATTCTTTCTCTGCATATTCAATGGGGTCTTTCAGTTCTAATGAACATACTAGCTGAAGTAGTCTTTCGATTTGGTGTCCCTTGTGTGACTTCGCTGCGCTTCTCACGACCTTATCTTTGCCTCGATTGTGAATCATCGTTCTCTAGAATATCGCAATTTTGTCCCCATATCATGATATTCGGTGTTAACACTAGCTCACGCCTCTCAAAAATGCATGCAAAAGCGCCAATATGCTTCAATTTCTTTAATTTTCATCCTGTTTCTACTAAATTTCCCGTGAACATAGAACATATCATTCTTACAAATCGTATGTTTTTGTTTTTCGAATTGCTACATTTTTGGCGGGAAAGTGACATCACAAAGTTGGCGCTAAAAAAATAACAGTTAGCTATTGGTAATTTTATGCACTTATTCGGTAGACGACCTTGAGAGAATCTTAAAACTGAAGTCTGTTTCTTAATACGACCATTTTTCGCGAAGATATAGCGATACAAATGTCAAAAAATCGGTCATTTTGTTCAAATATGCTTGATAATGGCGGATTTTTAGAAATTTGATTGTTCTGCCCAGCGTCTTGTAAACAGTTTTCTTTACGTCCTTGAGCAGTCTCATACATTTTCCCCACCGAGGGGATTTGGAAAGGTTAAACCGCCATCTTATGTCTTTCTTGGCAAGGTCGTCTTGTAGGATCTCGCTCTTTCTTACCTCTTTAATCCAACTTGCTGTAGCTTTAATTAAACACTATGGCGTTGTCGGAAATGATCAACTCTGGTCTTGTTCTTCTCGTGATGAATGTATTTAACCTTCGCTGGAATTCATCAGCTGTCTGGAACTTCATCATTTCCAAGTGTACCGCCCGTGTGCTGGCACAGGTAATTATTAGTATGTAACATTTACTCAGTTCCTTTCTGGACACCTTGTAGCTCAAGGGCCCCGCAAAATCAACTCCTATTGTCTGGAAGGGTCTTCCTTCGTCAGTACGAAAGGTGGGCATCGCGGCAGTATTCGTGTAAGTCCGTATGGTTTGGCTCTGTATACCTCGCACGTGTTACATGTGTTGATAATCTTCTTTACTTTGGACTTTAGTTTTGGTATCCACCATTCGTATCTTGTAGCAGCCGTAGTGTTCGCAGTTCCTAAATGCAAAACTTGGTCGTGCATGTGTAGGATCAGCTTCTCCGCGAACAAATCTCCTTCAATGTATACGTAGGTTGGTTGGTAGCCTTGTATCCTGCTTTTGCATGCACTTGAGAATTCCTGTCTCTTCTTTCGTTAGTTCAAATGTTTCTTTGCACTCTCTCGATCCAATGGTTTTTCTCCCTTGTTATCTCTTTCGTTGTCAATGGACCTGTAAGTTTACCCACGCCGCGACGCTTGGCGGTGGTGTTGTCTTAAAAACCTCGGTGCCATGGCTGTAATTCTGAGCGTTCTCCAATACTTGTTCTTCGTCAATAACATCATCCATTCAACCGAACTGAGTTCCTTGTTGTAAAAGACGTTTTCTTTAAAAGGCTTATGTTAATAATAACAAAATTTATATTTCTATGCGCTTTACATTTTGAAATTAAGTATGCGCTATTTTACACATCTTTTATATAAATGGTGTTAAAAGTTAACTTGTGCAAGTCTTATATCTATATATTATTTAAAACTAGTAAAAAATTTAAAAAATAAAATTCATCTTATAATTATGGTCATATGTTGTAGGCTAATTTAAAAAGGTAAGTCTTTAATTTGGATTTAAAAGTATTAATGTCAGTTATAGATCTATAAATATCCACTGGCAATGTGTTCCATAGTTTTAAGGCGGATTTCCAGTCGTCGCACGAAGCTCCTCGCAGCTCGCTGCGAGTGCTTGCATCTAATTAAAATTAACTGTTTAGCATTGTGATTGGATGAAAGTGCTCATGCATGCACTC